AGCAGTTTCAGTCTTTATTCCTTAACTTCCTTTCCAGAACTCCTCCTCCCGCCCCCCAGTTATTTAAGAAGTACACAGGGTACAATTGTCCTTTTTTGTAAGCACACCACCTTTGTAGCCCAAGGAGCGTATAGCTGACCTATGACATGACCCATGCCGAACACTTAAAATACATATTTGCAATTTCTGCATTCATCAGTTATGCCGGAAACAAGTATTGGTCTTTGCAACTTACTAAAAAACATTGAGGAATGTGATTTTTTTTTTTTCTTGTTACATACAATTTTCACCTTTCACCCTAAGAAGTTAATACCTAATAAGAATCGGGGTTGTCCAAGTCAGATCATGAAATAATCAGAGAGTGCATTTTGCTTACTCTGAGAAAAATTATCACTTGAGTTGATACCAAAATTAAAGCAGTGCATGGAACAGAAGATGGTTTTGAATCTCATGTTAGGATCTATTTACAATATCTTAACTGTACCTTTTTAAATGCTTGGAATAATCACCGAGCCATTCATTTCCATTTTTAAAGATGCTACTGCAAAATAACAGCTTTATGTTATGTTTTCATTATCACAGATAAGTGGTTCTGTTGGTTAATGACTTCTGGAGATACTATAATTCGCTGTCCTGTAAAATGCTTGCTCCGGGAGAATCTCTAAATGGGGGTGATGAAGGTAAGGCCAAGATGGCTGTTTAGGTACAGACCAGTATTGTGACACCATATGCCACAGCAATATGTTGAATTAATAAAAACTAAACTAACTTTACATAACAACCGCTGCAGACGTAGCCTGTCTTTGCTGCTTCCCTGTACAAATCAGGCCGTTACTCCTGGTTACAGAGAAGCAGGGTACATGATTTTCCTGCTGTAACAACAAATCTGTTCGGAGAAAGCAGATAAACACGATGAAACTCCTTTGATACCTTTTTCAGCAGTGCCAGAGCATAAGTTTTAAGCAAAGCTAATTAAGGGTCTCAATGCTGAATGCTTAATTCTCATTAATAAATATTAATAAATATATAAACATTTTATATATAGGTCTATAAATATATAAAATCTTATTAATAAATATAGAAATATTTCCATGTGCATCTCTGGAGATACTAGAATTTTACTGAAGTGCACGTGACTGTTGACCAGTAATCGTACAGGTTTTACAGTCAGGACCACATGTCAGATTGAGATGATGATTGCTTCTGTAAAAAAATTCCTGATTTAGTTCTCAGACCGCAGAATACACTGAAGATATCTCATGCAGTAGGAAAATTAGCGATTTATATTGCTCTAGAACATACAGTTGCTGATGTGAAGACAAGCCTGACTCATAAATGAATTACTGTGAACCACTAATCTTAAAACTAGAGGTAGCTGAGATACCACAGTAACAGCACCGGTCGTTTGAGGCCTCTCACCACAGTTCCTCACTTCAGGAAAAGACTAATTTCAAGGCAAAGTGGTTACAAGGATAAATTTTGTTCTGATTGGCCTTTTTTTTTGGTCACTTGATAGAGTTCCCAGCATATGTATGACATGAGTATCACTCTTGGTTGCTCTACAGTGTACAGCATGACCCTTGTAACAGCCCAAAGGGGGTAATCTTGTGGCAGAAGTTCTGTGCTAGCAGAACAGAGGAAATTTCAGGGAGAAAAATACTCAGATTTTGAGGAATCTCTAGAAAAACCTTGCCTTGACAATCCTCCTCCCCTCCTTTTTAAAAACAAAACAAAACAAAACACTGTGGTTTGCATTATGAAGAAAACTCCCTTTTTCAATTCATTTATACAGCTTCTAAAAGAAGCAGCATCACCTTAGAGCCAAACCCTGTGCAGGCAATATAAATGTTGCCCTGCCATTTCCAAAGAAAAACACCTCTCCTTGTAAAGCTGTTCTTCAGGTGTATACCCTAAGCTGGACATAATGAAAAGCTTAACTTGCATTTAAGTTCAGAAGTGAAAAGAATAAGAGTGCAAAGTCTTAACTTTGTTTTTCTATTAATACAGACAGCAAGCAACAACTTCTTTCTTTGTTTATTCTGGTTACTTATCCAAGGCAATTGAAAAGTTGCTTAACTTCAGTCTCGTAACTCTTCAGGATCCCTCCTGTTCATCCGCTCCAGTATTTTGACATATATTCCATGATGTTTAGTGGCAAGATATAATCCAGTTAGAGCCTGTATAACTACACCCAAACTCATTTTTCTAAAGATAGGCTGAGCAGTTGTGAGCCAGAAGCGTAATAGATTTTCTTTCCCTGGCAAGGGAGATGAAGAATACCTAAACAACATAAACAGTGGTAGAAACTTACTTTTATTTTTTCCATCCAATTTAAGCGTCAAGATTTAACATTGAAGTAATTAAAAATATTTAGGTAGCTATTCATTCTCTCCTTACTCTCCTAAGTTAAATTCACTTGGTGGTACTGAGCTCTCTGGATAAACGCTATAAACCACGCTGATGTCTCGCCATCCCCTCGCTGTGCTCTGACCCAGTCCACAGAATCCCACCCGCCGGGCAGTTTGGCTGCTGGGCATTGCCAGGGATCAGTAAGGTCCCTCGGCCGTCCGGCCAAACAGCACCAAGCAGCAATCATCACCGCGTGGCAGGACGGCAGCCACAACTTCGCATACCCAGACACATCGTGGGTAGCTTGTAAGGTTCCAGCTCAAGCCAAATGCTTTACAGTTACCAGTTTGCAGATCTTGTCTCACTTTGGGGGCTTAGCGTAGCTCTTACTAACTTTGCCTTGTAGTTAGGTGACCTTAACATAAATCCCCTTCCACGTCCTAAAAGCCTACGAGAAGACAGGTGTGCATAGACTAAAAATCCACAGAATTTAAACCGAGAACTGAAGGTCTGACCAACAAATACATTTGACTCGTTGCAGGTTAACAAGACGTACCTGGCTGCAAGGCTTGCGTTCACGGGGAGAGCCAGGATAACAGGATAGAAACCACCCACAACAGCCCCGATCAATCCTCCTCTGATCACAGCACACACCTCGCAGTTCAGCTCACCTGCAAAACAAACAAAAAACGTTTCACTGTCAGTATTCCCATAGCTCCAGTGACAGGCCGCGTGCGGCAACACGGAAACAGGCACCTGGCAGAAACGGCCAAGCTGTGAGGGTATGCAAGACATTTTGAAAAGATTCTTCCTTTTGTGGGGAAAAAAAAAAGAAAAAAGAAGAAAAAAAAAAAAAAAAGAAAACACTCTCAATCCAACCCTTGAAGAATTTATGGCTTTAAAGTTGACCTTCAAATGAAATCACACAGATGGGGGAAACACTGAACTGCTTTGTTGCCGTCACTTTTACATGACTTTGGGTGAAAAATGCTAAAAATCAGAAATTTTTTTATAAACATATGTAAACACACATACGTATCTCCTTTCCCATTCAACTTCCAAGAACTCACTGCTGCCCAATGCATGAAATGATCTGTTTTTCAAACCCCACTTTACAAACCGAGGGTTTTCAAGACCACCACAGTTCAAGGCCACTGTTCTGCAGCGAGGAAAAGCTCTCCAGCGTTACACTGCCTACAGAACGAAAAGCACTTTTGAAAAGAAGGAATAATGAGGATTTTACCTGAAAATAAAGGCTCACGCACAAAAACTTCATAAATTGCTGCTGTTGAAAGAAACGGAATGACAGCCATTGGCAAAGCAGACACCAAGGAAGCCTTTCTGACGTGTAGGATGTTCCTGAAGAAGTTATTTGCTGCTAAGCCGCATAAGCTTGAATTTGCTGCAAGGAAGTACGATCCATGATTACAAAGGTTTCTGTGAAAGAAGGAAAGTTGCTTCAGCAATTGAGAACTGTAAAAAAAGTTTGGTTTACTCCATGCTTCAATTCCAAATATCCTACAATGAGAGGTAAGAGAGGCAAATCTCTCGCTGGTGCAAAACAGAGAGTGACTACTTTGAAAAGCAACCAGTACAGCATCCTTCGCTACACGTCTGCGTTTACACCCACCTCGAGAATGAAGTAAACAGAAAGGCTGAGAACACTTTTCTGCAAGTTCTTCTATTATGGCTAAGGGAAACGTCGTGAAATTTGCTCTCCTAATCAACATGTTTCTAAGTAGAATGTTTTCTCAAAAGAAATAATAATAATAAAAAATCTATAATCACAGCTAGCTCCTGTAATCACCGTTGTTTCTAGCCTGCTTACCCCAAAGTATGGATCTAGTTTCAATATAAGAGCTCACAGAACAGATCAGGTGGGACAACTATGGCAACTGAGATCTCGCAGTAACGACCTCAGCAGCTGCTGGCGGATCATTTGCAGCGATTCTGTAGGCTGAAGGGCTGTCAGCCGTCCTGGAGTGCATGGAACGCAGGAATGTAAGGTTCTACCTTGCTAGGAGGTTATGACAGTTAAAGGTTGCGTACTTATTTACAGAACTGGAGCTTCTAATTTTGCTGTGATAACAGAGGGACTGGATTCGGTTATGTACCCTTTTTTTTAACACAGGGTTTAGAGCAGCTACTTCTGCAATCTGTAAAACGGCGACGGCAGAATAGAAGAAAGTCTGGTCAGAGGCAGTCAGCATTTAATATCTTGACAAACAGTTTCTACTTGCATACCTTCCATCACAGCAGGTAACGCAAGAGAGGGGATCGCGTGCCAGTTTTACAAGCCTGAGGAGCGGGTTGTGATTGATTTCATTCAACTCGCAGAAGGAAATTGTGCGTTATCTTTAGCGTTATACCTGGCACAGAGAGTTGATGAGTGGAAACAACTCTTTGCTTTAGGTTTCCACAAATCTGAAATTCCTGAAATGACAACTACTGCCAGGCAAAGCAATTAACTGGAAGGCTCTCCGATTCTGAGGCTGTGCCAATATTATTATGTTAAAAGTATATTTTTAAAATGCGTCATAAGTTGGATTTACTGCTAAAGCCCCAAAGAAAATAAAATGCTTAACTGGTCACAAAATTTATGCTAGGCCAAATGTCATATTTATTTGCAAAATTATCAAATGTGACAATCTCTAAACCATTTAGCAATTAAAATACATGACTTTTTAAAATCCACCTATTTAAAACTCTTCGACATTTTAATGCTTAGATTAACATTAAGCACTGACAAACCACACAAAAAAGGCTTCAGAGATGTAGGTGCCAATTCTGCAAAACTTAAACCATTAAAAACATCTGACATCAATGACACCAACTACTTCTCAGTTTGGATAGGAAAAGAGTTTCATTCTTGGTACTTATCAGATTTTCAAACATGAAAACAAGCTACCAACAATTCAATTCTGATGCTATTTAGCAGAAGAACTGGAGCGGCAAGATCTCTCTTGCCTTTATCTAGGAGGCTTGTTTCTTTTTTGGGGTTTTAAAAAGGAAGGGGCCTATTTGCTTTTCAGATCACCATTCTCCCAATACGGGATGTCACTCACAGAACACCCCCAGAGTACAGACTCTGCAAACCAGCTATTTTATTCTCTTGGTACGTTTAAAACCACAGGCAGTGAAATGCCCGTGTGCGTATACATACGTGCAGGGGACCAAAGGTAAAATTTAGCGGCGTATTTGAGAATCCAAAATAGAGCTCATTAACGTACCCAGGACCAGCAGAATCCACTCAGGCTTACTGCTGTACAGAACTGCTACACTGCACAAAAGGAAAGAAAGGATAGAGGGGTTTGGTTTGGGTTTTTATTTGTTTTTTGGGGGGGAAGATTTGTTGGTCTTGGAAAGGAGGGTTGTTTGGGGTTTTTTTTTTTCTTCTTTTGTTTCGATACTAGCTCTCTAGTATTAAAAACAAGAACTTTGGTGAGACAGAACTCTCTCAGTCTGACTGTAGGATGTTTCCTCTTCCCTTCCAGCCATTAGTGATCTCCCTTCTGCATACACAAACTTCAAGACCTGCCAGGGCAGTTTCAAATAAAGGCGCACACCCCAGCACCCATTTCTTTCCAAGGCCCAGCAGTCCCTGAGTACCACAGTCTTTATCAAGATGTTACCACCTCACTGCTGAGGAATCTGCCCCCCCTCAGCTCCCCAGCTCTTCCGGAGAAGTCTTCTAAGTTGAATGTGAGCACAGTGGATCCTACACAAAGCTGCACCACTGTCTGTAACGGGAAGGATAAAGCCCTGGCCTTGTTCTTTCTCACCTGTGTGGGGAGGCCTGGTGTTACTACTGGCAGGTTTTTTAGCCAGCAATTAAGTTCTATTAAAAATAAAATAAAATCAAAGATGCTTCGGATTACTGTTATTTATACAGAATTTATCCAAGATGACGCACACGTGCAAACAGCACCTTACAGAACCGGTTCAGGTTCAGTAAGGCTTTGCGGTGAAATGCAGTATCACAAAACCCAAAAAGGTTGTTTGTGAGGCCCAGAAGGCATTTAGCTGTTTTTGTACTGCACATAACCCCACTGGTGAGCCTGCATGACTCCGGCTGACTCGTCCACCACCACCTGGATACCTCGGTCTCGCCCTTCTGAAACACACAGACTAGCAGGTTGGTGCTCACTCAGTTCTGGCCCCAGGCCAGCCCTGCCGGACACAAGATGACTCCTGCAGAACCACAGGTGTCCGCCTTATGCTCACCAACATCTCAGTTTCCTAGAAAATTTATCACCTCTAGCACAGGACTATATGAATGCTCGGAGCCAGTTAAGGCTGATCAGCCATGACAGACCCTTCAGCATCAGGGAGCACGTGCCAGAAACCAGCTGAGCAGGACCAGAGAGGACAGTGAACTAACCACATTTAAAAAACGCAAAACAAGTTTTCTGTTTCAGACAGTACTAAGCACCTTCACAATTAAATACTTTCGTAACTGCAAGGAAGATTTGTAATACAAGAGTAAAGGAAAAGAAAAGCCTCCAAAAAACTTGAAATATTTGATGCACTTCATTTATTTTACCAGCACTTACTGATCTGCTTTGGGAAGCTCATTGAGTGTCTTTTGCATGACTTCCATCCGCTTAAGTCTTTCCAAATATAGTCTGTGCTGCAGAGAATCTAGTTCAAGAAACTCTCTTCCTGTCATCTTGAAGTCCTGGATCGTAAGGAACAAACAAACAAACGTAATCAAAGTTACACAGCCCCAGTATCCATCAAATAAACTTTTAGACTCTTTTGGCTCTATGCAATCACAAATTTTTCACAGCAGACTTTTCAGTTGCAAAGGGCACCATCCAGCTGCAGAAGTCTGTGATATTTATGACTACAGGAACGCTACCAAACTGCTTTCTTTAGTGATGTTGCGGCTGTGGTTTGACAATCGCTCTAAGCCAACTTAAGTACTCGCTGTGATGAAACTGATGGTCTCACCCTCCACACACTCCTGCCTGAGCACCTCCAACCCTGGGGCCACATAGCAGTTTGGATCAGGAAACACACAGATGAAAACTGCTCAGAGGAACAACACGATATATAGTTGTTTTTCCAGCTGGATCACCTTCTAACACAATGATCCCTAATGCCAGCAGCACAAAGGAAGACACTAACGGGACAATGATTTTGGCAATACTCCAGGTTTAAATTGACTTAACTGTCAAATTGGTAAGGTAAAAAAAACCCCAAACAAATCCATACTTCATAAAGATTTAAAGAAGTCATGAAGATATCTACTCTGCTTTTATATTCCACACCTAAGGAAGCTCTTTATTGGTACTCTTAGCCAGAGCCATGTATCAAGTCAGAAAGTGTACAGTTATTTAGGTGGCAAGGTTTTGGTAGCCAGGGGGCTACAGGAGCGGCTGCTGTGAGAAGACGCCAGAAGCTGCGCCCATGTCCGACAAAGCCAATGCCAGCCAGCTCCAAAACAGACCCACCGTTGTCCAAAGCTGAGCCCATCAGCAACAGTGGTAATGCCTCTGGGATAACATAGTTAAGAAGGGGAAAAATTGCTGCACAACAGCAGCTGAGACAAAGGAGTGAGAACACGTGAGAGCAACAGCTCTGCAGACACCACGATCAGTGAAGAAGGAGGGGAGGATGTGCTCCAGCTGCTGGAGCAGAGATTCCCCTGCAGCCCATGATGAAGACTATGGTGAGGCAGGCTGTCCCCAGCAGCCCATGGTGGTCCACAGTGGAGCAGATATCCACCTGCAGCCCATGGAGGACCCCACACCAGAGCAGGAGGATGCCTGAAGGAGGCTGTGACCCTGTGGAAAGCCTGCGCGGGAGCAGGCTCCTGGCAGGACCTGTGGAGAGAGGAGCCCACACTGGAGCAGGTTTGCTGGCAGGACTTGTGACCCCATGGGGGACCCACACAGGAGCAGAGTGAGTTGAGTCCTCCCACTAAGCAGGAAGGAGTGTCAGAGACAACATGTGTTGAATTGACCACAACTCCCATTCCCCATCCCCCTGTGCTGCTCAGGGGGAGGAGGTGGAGACATTGGGAGTGAAGTTGAGCCTGGGAAGAAGAGAGAGGTGGGGGAAGGTGTTTTAAGATTTGTTCTTATTTCTCATTATTGTCTTTTGTTTAATTAGCAATAAATTAAATTAATTTCCCCAAAGTCTAGCCTGTTTTGTCCACAATGGTAATTGGCGAGTGTTCTCTCCCTGTATTTCCCTTGACCCACCAGCTTTTCATCATGTCGTCTCCCCCTGTCCTGTTGATGAAGGGGGAGCGAGAGGGCGGCTTGGTGGGCACCGAGGTCAACCCACCACGACAGCTTTGGATTAAACCCGGTTATTTAGCGATTCCAATGCTCTTTCTAGATGTTTGTCTCCAGAGGAAAGTTTCCCAGACTGACTTTGCCGGCCATACTTACCTTAAGTTTCCGTCACAATTTGACGTCTGTGTCCTACAGCCCACCCGCGGGATGGCGCTTGCTGCGACGCGGGATGCGGGAGAAGCAGCAGGGCCTCACCGGGGAGGGCCGCCGCCAGCCTTGAGGCCTGTTCTTTAGGGAGACCACACACCGACAAGGAGCTGTCAGCACCCGTGACGCACACACCACCCTCCCTGTCCCCTCACGCACCGCTGTAAGGCAGCCGGAGGTCCCCAAGGCCCCCGGGGCCCAGCTCCGGGCTGAAGCCCTCACACACTGGGAGGCTGCGGCTCACCTCCCTCCCCCCCCGCCCCGGGCTTTAAACCCCACCGCACGCCATGAGCGACCCTTACC